GAGCCAGSGATGCTTGCCATGAAAGGACGTGTAACAAGGCCAGCCAGGTCCCCAGCGACTGCACGAACTGTGCAGCAGCCTTCTGCACAAACCAGCCACGCTGACAGCCTCAATTCCTCACGAAGAACAAAACAGACTGTGGGCAACCTGCCGGCTCGCTGCAAAGCGACCAGGTCCACGTTAAAGTCCATCAGAAGCCGTACACCTGAGAGAGAGACATTCGAAAACAAATCACTCACGCTGCGTCAGCTCGTTGACACATTTTGTGCCTATCACTCCCAGTAAAATAGAACAAACCCAAAACAAGGCGGCTTTGCAGCATTTAGACAAAAAAACCCGCAGCCCCTCGTCGCAAGTTGCAGTTACAGCAAACCCACTGCAGCGCCGAGCAGCAGCATTAAATGGAGTGAGCTAATGTGTTAGTGACAAATAACCTGCTCAAACATTTCAAGCATAATTACAGGCTAGCTCTCCTCATGTAACGCTGGGTACATCACCGCACATATTATAGTCACCTTCTGAAAAGGCTGTGCAGAGGAGCTCAGTGGGTAACCCGAACAGCAGCGCGCATCACGGGCTGTCAGCATCAGCGCTGCGTGCACCCTGGCATTTGAAGTGCTGGTGTTTTAAGCACTAATCCAATGTACCAGGCAGCATTGATCTCTCTATAAAAGAGGGTCCTGCATTCCTATCAACTGGAGTTATTTTTCACTTCTCATCCTGAAGAGCTGTGTGGTGCTGCCCGCAAGTGGCTACACGGCACAGCAGCTACGTGCGCAGCGCTCGGGGTCCCTGGGGAGGCAGAACGATCAATACTCCAACGCTGCCTTTCTAAGAAGTCTCTAAGTGCTTCTCTGTGAGATGTTGTTCCTCTGGGTTTAGAAATTACTCTGAAGAGAACAAGAAAGCCCCCACTGCAAATTCATAATCCTGACACAAAGCCCAACTGCAGCAAGGAATTAAAATGAAAATGGTTGGGGAACTGCGGGCTGGTGTATCAGAAGAAAAGGCATTTATAACGTGAGGAAGAGACCTAGACAAGAGACCTGTACCTAGAGGCTGTGGGGGAAGAGGAACCATGTCAGCTGCAGAGGGGCAAGGAAGCACCACAACCTCCTGCAATATGGCCCAGGTGCCAGGATGAATTGTGACAGGGACACTCAGTGCCACTACTGGGATGGCAGGGACAAGGAACAAGGTGTCACCTGAAAAGGTGATGCTAATCAGAAAGCTCAAAGGGAAAGGCAAGGGACTTGAAGGGCTGGGCTTGCTCTGCACAGATTATTAGAGACAGGTCCTGAAGAAAGTTTTGGATATGGAGAATACAGAGAATATGGAAAGCAGTTTGAATCTTCTCCTTGGTCACAGCCAAAGGACACTAAAGCTGCCATTAATTTCTTATCTCAAGTTCCAGGGAACTCAAGTGGCTTCAGCCCTTCCTATACTGGTGCTAGGAGAAGTCTCCCATGATTACCCTCCACCTTCTCCATCTCGTCCTCCCTGCTGCCCAGCAGCCTGCAGGAGGATTGGATACACACAGGCACTCYCTGAGCCTCTGGAGCTTGGTGCTGGGCACCAGGCACTTCTCCAGCACAGYTGGCATCACACTTGTCACCCGGGCACTTAAGCACCAAATTCTTGCAGCAGTCAGAGCACAGCACCATTTGCAAGACCTTTGGTTTTTGGATGTGACTCTCTTCCAGGCACATGAAGGCTGCTGATATGCTCCAGCTCAGAAGGTCACTGAGTCATCAGGCCATTCCCCATGTCACAGCATGACACTCCTGACAGCGGGGCACAGCCTCCTGCAGCAGCCCTGTCCTCCTAAAATTGCACTCATTTATCCCCATTAGGAGAAATTAAGCAACATGGCTCAAAAATGAGACTGCTTTCATCTGTGTGAGGTCAAGCAATTTCCTCCAGGGCCAGGAAAGACTTAAGGGTGGGGAAAGACAGGCAGCTCGAGAGAGGGCAGTGTGYGGGTTTGGGCAAGGAAAAGGAGAAGCGATGATCCCCTGGTCTCATCCTGCAACTGGCTGGTAGGCAATGACAGCCACTCTCCTCCATACAGCTCCAAGCACAGGATTTGCTCCCTGCTGGGACTATTAAATCACATTGGATACAAATACATTAGAGAGGAAGCTTAAAGGGAGCCTGGCTGGCTGCTCAACATCTTCTGGTCTCAGTCCTAGGCTCTAAGAGACCAAAAGCTAATAGATAAACCTAGAGCCTAGGCAAAGGGGCCAGCTCTGTTGAATGGGATGCTCAGCTCCCACATACAGACAGTGCCAAGGAAATGGTGCCATAAAGTCTGGTCTCCCCAAGGTGCTCTGGGCACATGGGTGCAGGAGGTGAGCGGGCGCCGGGAACAAAGCAAACCTCCTTGGCAGGGYTTATTGTTTTAAAGGGAACAAACTCCAGCTGATTGCCCTTGTAAAAGCCTGCATGGTACTTGCACTTCCAGCCTAAGCAATAGAAWTTTTAATTGCTTTGGTAATTACACTTTCAGAAACAGCCCAGCCCTTTGTTCTGCAAGCGGAGGCCAATATACACTGTTCTCCGGTGGCCCCGTCTGGCTGCAGCTTGGAACAGCATTTGCCACTTGGAGGGGAAGGGACACTCCTCTGGGCACCGCAGGGACACGGAGCTCCTCTCCAGAGCCCAGCTCACAGGGAACACAAAGGTTCCCATGGGTTGGGATGACACTCACTTCTTCCTATCAAAGCTACTATTCAAGAACTCCAGATACGTGCGGTTTGCTGCGAGACTTTCCCCATCACCTGCCACGGACTGATGCTCTGTGAAGGATGCGAGGGCTCGAGGGCACACGTCTGCAGCCCTCCTCATGCATGATCTTGTAGAGATGCACAGCACATCATTAACAGCGTCTCCTCTCCGGGCTAGAAATAGCTCTAAACTGCGGTGCAGACACAAACGTTATGTTGTTTTACCTTCCAGATACATTTTTTAAATAATGGGGAAGAGCTGTTATCCCTGGGGTCCTGATGGGTTAAATCCTGACTAGCCTTGTGAGAATACCAGGTCTACAATCCACCCTGGAAAGCTATTAAGTAAAAACAGTTAATGACAACCACCATACTATGCTATGGATAACGAATTAACTCTAGAAAATGACTGCTGCTTGAGAAGCCTCTGCATGGCTGAGCAGGTGGGGCAAGAGAGCGAAGCAGCACCARGCCCCGTGCATCACTGCACCAGCAGCAGTCCACATGCGACACGGTCGGCCACAAAGGTGTGGGGCACGTGGACGCCTCCAAAATCTTCAGGGGTGCAGCCCAGGGCAAGCACCCGTTTGCCTCAATGGCAATTCACCTGCAAGCGTACGTCAGCTATAGATCTTTCCCCTCCAATCCGTCGGATAAGTCCTGGGAGCCCCTGGATTATGTGCAGGAAGTTTGAAGCGGGGTTAGGAAGCGTGAGCTTAGCAAAGTTCTCCTAGGGAAATGGATATCCTGCTCCCTTCTCCCACTCAGGTTAGTTAAGCAAGCTATGAAACACAAAAAAACACGCAGGGCCCCGCAGGGAGTTATAATTGTAGTCTGGATTTGTCAGACATGCACCAAGTCTGAGTTTACTTGCAACTCCTCTCATCTCGTCTCCCCTGTATTTTTCAAATCCATGATCCCAGATGGCATTTTCTGGGCATCTCGGCTCCCACGGTTGCCAGAAACCCTGGTCACAGCCATACATCTCTAAATCAACAGCCCCGCCACACTGCAGCCACTTTGTTCCATGCTGGACCATTCAGAGCTAAAAACAAGGTTTCCAAGCTGAATTGCCATTGGTCTTAAAGCTTAAACAAAAAAAAAAAAAAAAAAAAAGCTCCACTCCCACACCCCGGTTCCTTAAAAAAAAAAAAAAAAAAAAAAAAAAAAAAAAAGCTCCACTCCCMTCCCTGGAGTTCCTTCAAACAATGGCACAAAAGCCTGGGGAGAGGAGGGTCTGTGGTTGAAAACACACTGCTGATTTTTGAGATATGCACCAGTATTACAAACACTAGATCCATAAACACCCCTGAAACAAAAGCCATCAGATCTAGATCTGAGCTTAGAAAGGGTTACTGTTTGCGGCTGGATTTCTTCCTTGTTGGGACTCTTCTCTTCAGCATTTCAGAGCAGATCTARCAGCAAGGTGTGTCATTCATTAACAGTTTCACGTACCCTCCTCTTTTAGGTTAACCTGCAATAACTGGCAAGAAGCAGAACTAAATGGGTGGAGGTGACTGGCTACGGATTCATGGCACACTGGTTTTCATGCAGAGCAAACCAGCGTGAACACAAAAATATCTGAGCAGCGCTGCTGCTGTCAATTTGATAATGAGAATGTGATTTGAAATAAAAACAACTTGGGTGCCAATTCAGTGCAGCAGCTAGTAAAAATAGGCAGAATACCTAGAAATTGAGGACTCTCTGCTCCAAACACATCTAAAGCTTGAATATCATGTGGCATCTTATGAAAACAAAGTGCACGGTTGGGCTTGGGCTGCAGTACCCACAAGGGAGACACCCCCACTTATGAGCTTGGGCAGGCACAGATGGGGAGCAGGGTCTCTCTGTAGCTGAGCAGGSCTAAGGGCTGCCCTCTTTGGACCTGTGCAGCCCTGGATATCCACCCCAGCCTGCTCTCTCCAGAGAGACCCCAGCACAAAACAGTGCAGAGCTTGAGCTGCAAATACCCCTAGGAAAAGCCTGCGTCAGTCCTGCCAGGGCACATGGCACCCAGAGCTGGCCTTTTAGCCAAATCAAAGCAGCAACCAGCCTTTCCAGCGCTGCAGAACAAAGGGGGCAGCAGGGCCTCGTGTATTTTGAAGGATCTGGCCTTTTTTTAGGAGCAGTTCCCAGTTTCAGGTCAAAGCAGAGCCTGTTTTAATCTACTTTTAAGTGGTACAAGCAGTTGTGATCCCTCTGCCAGCAAGTGAGAAGGCAGGGAAGTTTCTCTCAGTGCACCTTCCCCTATCTGCWATCTCCCGCGGGACTTACTTGTTGCTGTCCCGGTACTGATAGATATAACAGCCTTGAGGCATCCCACTCTCCTGGTCCAATGTAAACGAGAGCTTCAGCTGCAGAGAGGAGCGGGTGGGGGGTAACGAATGGAGAGACAGAGAGAAAGAGAAGAAAAAAAAAAAGCAACATTTTAGGCTGTATTCTCAGTCATTACAGTGCCTTCGAGCACGGCTTGTGGGAGAGAGCRAACTCACCAAGACTGACACGCAAACACTGTGGCCTGGAACATACCGCAGGGCTCCAAACCTCAGGGAAAAGTCACATGCGTTGCAGAAACCTCTCGCTTTTTCCACCCTTTGTTACTATAAAGTGTTTGTGGTTCTTCTGAAATGCATGGGTCATAACAGTTCACCCCTCCAAACCCACCCACACACACCGCCCTTCACCAAAGCGCTTGCGGTTCCCCTCAGACACTAAAGAAATGAGTGTTCTCCATCAGCAGCTGTAGTTCCCACGAGTCTTTCTCTGAAAACTTTCCCGGTTCCATCTCGTTCCTCCAGTGCATTAGAACAGAGGAGAAACCGCAGAGGGGAAGGTGACAGATTTTTCCTTCTGTGCAGAGTTATTAAAGAGCTGTTAGAAGGGTTTGCAGTTTGGATCAGTGTCCGGCAGGAGGCTATGAGGTGACCTGGAAGCTGCTTTCTTTGCAGCTCCAAGGCGGCATTCAGCAAGAGCCTTCAGATTTCAGCTACAGCTTCAGCTCATTTTATTTAAGGGGGAAAAAAAATTAATCCTCTTTCAACACGCAACAGAACAGCTCTGCAGGGAGACTTTTTTTTGATGAAAATGTCACCGGTGATTTCCCATGCTAAGCTGTCTGTACAGCAGCACAGGGCTGACCCCCTGAAATGGGCACACATCYGAGCAGAACCTCTTTACCCAGCAGAAAGCTGCTGGGGCCAGAAAAATAGTATTTCCATCCTAAGGCTATAGCCCTCAATGTCCTAAAAAGACCCTCAGGAGGACACAGTAGGCTGGATAAGAGGGGCAGCATCCTTTGGAGGAGATAGATTCAATTTTGATGCATTTTAAAACACCTCAGTTTTTGCTTGGGTCAGGGAGAAAACATCAATGGCAGGGCCATTGCCACTTCTGGATTGTGCAGGACTCTTCAAATGGTCGGGAAGACCATGAGAATGCTTAAAACTTGAAGCAACTTTATTACAATGAGCCTGATTTTTTCAAAAAGGGAGAAGAGAGGTGCTGAGCCACTCTATTGATCACAGACTCCTCCAGACTCCTGTGAAATTGCTAACTCAAATTAATGGCCTGTGCAGAAATGAACATCAAATTAAAACATCTCCCTCCAGCCCGTGTGCTGAATCCCTCCGTGTTGAGTCATTAGCTGGCACCCTGATTTTGCCTTCTGTACAATGCAACCAAGTCAAGCACTGTGCTCTTGCTGGCCCTAATAAAGCTGCATACCACAAAACCACTGAAATCTCCACCATCCTGGATGCTGAGTAAACAACAGAGCTGATATCCATCAGATGAATAAAGATATCCATCAGATGGATAAAGAAATCCCTCTTTAGTGACTTCCATGCCCCTAACCCTATAATCTGCTGTGAAACACATGCACCAAGAAACTCACACATCCACGTGTGCCCGTGACACAAGAATCACACCAGATACTGCTGCTCAGACACAACCTGTTGCGCTCTCCGGAGCTACCTCTTGCTGCAARCTCTGGTCTCCAGCACTGCTCAGCACATCGCTGCGATCCATTCTTGATGCTGCTGGACAAGGCAGGACTCCTGCCGTTCCCAACGCTGCAAGGGCACACGGCAGCTTCCCCATGGGAGCGGGATGGGATAAGAAATGAGTAAGAAACTCCAAAGGGAGTCCAGCAATCCCCTTGCTGTGGCACAGATGAAGGTGACTTGTCCCTATCTGGACTAGAGTTTCCCCAAGTGAGCTTGTCCTGGCTCGGTGAACTGAAGGAGGACCTGGAAACGGCCAAAAGTTATTTTTCTTTTGACACAAATGCAGGATTACCTGAGTCCATCTCACTGACAGCTCTGGTGCCTAAATGGCCTTTGGGGTCATGCTAATTGAGAGCTTTGTTTGCAGCACACCTGGGCTTTCCCCTCCATACCCAACGTGGCTGGAGGCAKCTCTGTGCAAGGAGACAAGTCCAGTGCTAAGGAAGGAAGGAAAAGGGCTGGGAAGGAAAAGAGCCTTGTTTGGACAGGCCGCAAGGGAAAGCTATGTGGAGGACCAGGTATGGGAGGGAAACCTTCCCACTATCTGGGGGACAAGGTCCCATGGAACCTGCCTTCCCAAAGAGGAAAGACCACAGTTCCCTCAGATAAGGTGCTTTCAAGTTTCTGTTATTTTAACCCTTCTCTCTCTGCTTACGGTATTCCAGACAAACAAAACACACCCTGCCTGGCAGACTCAGCTCTCTGCTCACCAGCCAGTGAGGCTTGTGTAACAGGGACCGCGTGCAGCTTGATCTCTTAGGGCAAAACYGTCAGGCAAGAGGATGACGCTGTCACCCGTGGGCTCGGGGACAACAGGATCCTACTCAGGGAAATGTCAGGGTCAGGCCATGTTGCAGAGAGACGTAGAAYTGCGGCCCTTCCTTGGCCATCGCTGCTCAGGGCAGATGTGATGCTGCTGACTCACAATCCCACAGATCTGCTCTGCTCATGCTCTGCCATGGCCAGCTGGAAACTGGGAGAGGGCGTCTRTGCCTGCCACCCAGGCAGGGAGTCCTTAGGAGCTCCTCATGAACAGCCACGCTCTGCCTGTACATTGCCAGGTGTGACACTCTGACCACCCTTGCTGCTGGTGGTTGGCCCTTGCCAAGTGCCCACAGACAAAACTCACCGTGGGGTAGAAGAGCAGCAGGTAGGGAAGGGCCAGCTGGGTGCCTTCAGGGGGCAAACTGGGACATAGCGACTGAAAGCTTCTTTCTAAGCTTGCTAAGGCTGTACCCATTGTCCCAACACCTTGTGGGGGTGTCCCTCTGCTACTGGAGTCACAGCAGGCCGAGCACGGCACTGACCATCCCTGGACAAGCRCTCCCCTCTGCATGGCTGTGCTCAGCTGCAAAGGTGCTCGTGCTCCTGGGTCCTTCAGGCCCTGCAAGACCTGCTCCACAGGCCTCTCCTTTCATGCTAAAAACAGTCTATGAGGTGCTTGCTGCCACGAGTCTCCGAGAATAAAACTCCAGCCTCCTTTCCTGTCAGCTCCCACCCTGCTCTGCGTGTACTCTGCACCACCACTTCCCTCTGGTCCTACTTCCAGCAGTCACCCCCTCCTCCTGCCTTCTTCCTCTAATACATCACAAACCCCGTGTACTCCTGATTAAAAAAGGTTGCAGGGCCAGGCTGGGGTCAGCACAGGAGATGTCAGGAGCTGGTTAAACCCCTTATCAATCTTGCCATCTGACTTCAGCTACAGCAATGTCACGAGACATCCAGAGCCTCCCAGAGACACGAGGATCTGCAAAACAAACAGGCTTTTGCAATGGCCCCTCTGACCCGGCTCTAACTCTTAACCAATATATCAGCATTGCTTCAACACAGCGTCCTGCTTGGAAGCTCCTTTCCTTTTACACTGCTCCTTGTCGCAATGCAAAGACTTGCCATAGAGTCAACAACAACAATACCAAGATACCAATAATACCACAAAACCTGCAATCTCATACCAAGGCAAAGGAGAGGCCCCTGGTTTGCAAAATACAGTTTTATGCCTGCAGGAGCAGTGGGGAACGGATGTTTCCAACCCAAACGCAAGTACAGGGTGACCCCATCACAAGAAAGGCCCATCAGATCAAGGGACCAGCCTACACCTTGGGGCTTCTCCACCACCAGCAAGGCCATAGAGAGGTTTTTCAGGATGGGAGAGCAGTGCTCAGCACTGCTGTGGACCTCCAAGCTTGCCTGGACTTGGTGCAGCCAGCAGCCACCCTCTTTCTGAAGGAAAACCAGATCTGCAGCAATTAGGGGCCCAGGCATGTGATAAGGCTTRGTAGCTCCAACAAGGAGAGAGCCCAAGCAGCAACTTTCTGGCTCCTGAAATGCTGCCAGTGCCCATAGAGACTTGCCTGGGCAAATTCTGCACTCCCCTGGGGCAAATGGTTTGGCTGGGATCCCCCTTGTTCCCAGCCCTGGCTCGGAGCAGCAGACCTCTGTCATTAGACAAAGTTTTCTCTGCGTGTGCACAGTATCAGAGAGGTCTTATCAGTTCAGCTGTGTAACCAGGTCAAGCACTTCAGATGGCCCAGATCCAGGGCAATATAAAGGCTAGTTTCTGCCAGGCTTGGTCGTACTGCTCAAGGTAATGCGGCCAATGTGGTATTGAGGCAGCAAGAGATCACCGAGGACAAGGAGGATAGGCAGAATATGAGGCCACAAAACTAAAAGCAAGGGACTGGACTTAAAGATTATACCAAAACAGTCCTCTGGAAGGCATGGGTTCCTTTCTACTGTTGGCATTCATTCGATTTTAATCCCAYTTGCAAGTAAATCCAGAAAGGGTGGTATCAGATCCCTTTCAGGACAGAGGCTCCCCTCTCCAGCAAGCTCTAGAAAGCTTTTTAAGAATAAACTTAGTCATCAAGCAGGTTTTTATGCCCCGCCCAAACTTCTTTTTTGACCTGAAAAAAAAAAAGACAAAAAAAMCCAACCATGAAGTTCTGACACTCACTTTTAAAACCACAAGAAACGAGCCGTGCTCCAGTAACGTAATCACAGAGCTTTCTGGCACCTCGTCCCTTAAAAATACATCCATCTGCCTGCGCACAGGCCATCAAACTCAATCTTGTTCACAATGGATTTCCCAATTCCTGTGTGCTGGAAGGGCGGCAGCRGGGCTGGCTGGGCCCACTGGATGAGCCCTTACAGGAGCACAGCCTGCGAACCTCACAGCTGTGTTTTCACTTAAACTGCTCTTCCAGAGAGCTTCTATTTGCACTGAAGTTCAAAASTGCTGCAGAAAGACCCCAGGTAAAAGCTGCACTTCGTGGTTGCCCCCTTCTCTAGAGGTGAATGTGACAGGGACAGGGTAGGGCTAGTAAGGGAGAGACTACAAGTCCTACAGTGCA